AGGATCTGGCAACCACCACTTGCTGGATACCCATTAGGGAAGCAAAATGGCCACTCATGATTTGCAGTTTTAAAGCAAAACATCAAATTTTGAGCAGGGAGAAATAAGAGCTCCCAACAGGTTAAGGGTCCATTAGGGAAGCAAAATTAAAACTGCAAATCATGAGTGGCAAAGCAAAACATCAAATTTTGAGCAGGGAGAAATAAGAGCTCCCAACAGGTTAAGGGACCTCACTCTACTACTTCCTTGAGGTAAACGACTGTCATGCTTTTAAAAGGGAAAGGATAAGGCATTTCCTGGAAAGGCAGCACGTGCTCAAACTTTATTTGGATGGGGCTGTTTGGTCTTCAACTCCAATAACCTGCCAGAGCCGAACTCAGAGGCACTTTTAAATGTTTAAGTAGATGGAAGTTGTTTTGTGCCCTCACCTACATTGCTGAGCAACTGTGAAACAGCATCCAGCCAGACACAAGCGTTACGCACTCGCTTTCTCTTCTTCTTCCCCTCTACCAACCTCATCTTCTGGTCTGCAGGAGGCCAAGTTTATGCTGTTCATAGCTGCCATCTCATTTTTGCTCTAATCCAGCCTGTCTTGGTCAGGACCCAACACTGATTATCTACTCACCAACTTCTCAGTCCTAGGCAAGTCTCCATGTAGTTGGCTTCTACACTTCTCCCCTTCTCTCATCTGTTCAGACTTTCTCTGAACTTCCATCTCATGTTCTCTTGGACTAAACTAGTGCAAGCCCACTAAATACAGCAGTCGGTATCTTACCATCAAACTGGTACTGAATGATGTTGTTGAAAACTTCCAGCAAGAAGAAAACAAGATGATGGTTCTGGACAGCAGAGAACAGGAACCAGGTGGTGGAAAAAGCCTCCAGGAGATGCAGTAACTTGTTAGCAGCCACCATGGAGAGAGACTTCAGGTACGGAGACACTGTGGAAGGCAAACAAATGAAAACTGGAGAAAGAACCAAGGTGTATTTATTCACATAAATGCGCCACTAAAAAAGTTGCTCTTACCACCTTCCCACCCTGCACTTCTGGGAAAGCCTCATGGAACAGCTGAGCCCAACAGGGGTCCACAGAAACACTTCCAAATATAAAAGTAGTTAAAACAGAGCTATTGCCTAGTAAAAGCAGGCATTTCTGCTTTTAGAGGGTTTTGTGCAGTTTTGTGCTAGTAACACCACCTCCGGCGTGCCTCCTGAAGAGCTTACACAGCTGGAGCCACCTGCATGCTCACTGAGCCCAAGAGAAGCCACTGCCACCGTGTGGAGGTGGCACTCCCTGCTGGAGAGGGACAGCTCTGCCACCACCCTCACCAGGCCTTCTGGCAAATGCCTTTCTGCCCGCTCAGAAGGGCTCTCCCACCCTCTGCCCCATCTGAGCCCAGGCAATAACCCTGCAGGCAGGGCTGATCTGCAGCAGGCATCTCCAGCACGGACGAGAAAGGATCGGTTTCCAGCAGCAGTCTCTGATGCTGATCAGTACTAGGGGGCACAGGTAGAAGTGCAGGGAGAGGGGAGCAAGAGCAGCCAGACCCATCCCCGCTGCGGGTCGTGGGTTCACACCAAAAAGAGAGGCTGCAGCCGCTGATGCCCGCTGGTTATGATCTTGTGAAAGACCTATGGTAAGGAAGGAGTTCTTGAGCAAGGTGGTACCTTACTGACAACACCCCCTCAACCAAAACCGATGCCACCCCCACACTAATCGCTTGCTGACACCATTCCTTCCTGGGCAGGGCCCTGCACACTCCAGAACTGCACAGGTGAGGAAGGCTCCTCTCACTGCAGGCTTGCGCTCCAGGAGTACGAGCTTTCATTTACAAGGAATCCTTTGGGGACATGATTAGGGCTCTACAACACTGCAAACAAAACTGACTGCGAACTGTTCCAAAACGCACAGACAGCCCGAGACAAAAAATAAACCACCAGAAAATAAAAAACATCTTCAACTCCAACAGATTTTGACTCTGAACCCTGATGATACCTGCTTGAAATGCCAGAGAACTAATCATTTCACATTTGATTTTAGTGCCAACTTCTAACTCAAGTATTTTTCCTGCTTTTCTTAACTATACCCTCAGACATGGAAAGACTCAACTGCCTCGCAGCCAGTTTAGACATTCCCATTCTTGGCCTTCCCACCTCTAGCTAGCAGGCCTGTAGAGAATACCTGCAGCATAGTGAAAATACGGAGATGATCTAAAGGTAATCGACTGTAATAGCAAAACACACAGCGTCAAGAACAGTTCTGGTGGGCACGTTTCTTCCTACTCCTCGTAATGGGAATCTCCTTTTGGAGGTTTATCAGAAGCTGCTGACAGATTCTTCTCTGGCAAACAAGCACTACCATGACAGTAGGGTAACCCGAGGCTGGCACTGCAAAACACACAGCTGGCTGTAGGCAGTATTATGGCCCTCAGCACTACAGACTGAAAGATGCACGAAATCTTGCAGCAACCCAAAGCTGTAGGGTTGAGCTTGGTATCACTGGTGTTCCCGTTATGACAGACGTGCTCCACACAACTCTGGTTACTTGGGACAGAGCCAGCAATGCAGTCAGATCTCCTGCCTTCCCCACCTGCAATCAAGTCTGGCAGAGACCATGCACCCGCCCCGCTCATGCCAGTCCCAGAGTCCTGTAGACACCAGTCCAGCACCATCCAGGATCCTGTTCTTTGGGATCATCTCATGCAGATGCATCCTGCCAGACACATCACCTCAGGTTAACAGCGTGCAAAGACCCCACCAGTGCTTGGATGCATCCCACACACTTTCTAGCTACTCAGTGGGCTGGAAATGTAGAAAGGATGAAGGAATAAAGAAGGACAATTATTTGTGGAGGTATGAAAGAGGAGTTAAGAGGGACAGAAAAGAACTGCTGATGTTATACTCACTATGATGAGCAGATCTGCATGTGTCCCTGTGAAGACAGGGATGTCCATAGGCACTCGTACAGAATACGGCTTGTTCAGTCGAACCCCAAAGTTACGCTCCCCACTGAGAAGCAGGAGGATAAAAACCCCAATGTGCATCAAGCCCACTCGTGCTGCAGAGAGGAAAAAAAAGAAAGCAAACAAAAAACCACACATCACAGTGAGGCCAGTGGACTCTTGAAGACAGAAGGGCAGTAAGGAGGCATAAGAAACACCCTGGAACTGAAAGAAAAGCTGCACAGACCAGACCATCCTGGTAAGGGACATCCCACTCAGAGCTCCCCCCATTTCCACTACCAGTGGCCTTCCCAAGCACATCTGTGGGGCCAGTACAACGTTGCATCTTGAACAGATCATGCTTTTCTTCATTATGTTCTTGATGTAAACCCATCAGTGTAGTAAGAAAGATCTGACTACTACTTTCCACTGCCTAGTGATGAAGTTATGCCCGATTTATACCCAATGCAAGAGCAGATTGCTCATTTCTCCCTCTTCATAGGATCAGAGACACAGTGGACATAAGGACTCAAAATGAGTAAACACATGCTAAGGATTTCCCTTCTCTGTGTTGTGGTATAGACCATGCCCTGCTTCTAGTCTGCTACAAACATTAACACCCAGTTAACTGAACCACTCTGCTCCATGCCTGCAGAAGGCTACAAACACGCACTCGAGATGCTATCGCATCTCCGTGGCAGGGAGGAAGCATCTTAAAAACATTCTAGCTCAACTGTTGAGCACAGATCATCCCCAATATTGAAAATAACCAACTTACACTGGTCTGCTCTGGCATCATTGAGAAAATACAAGATTGGGACAAGGATGTCCAGAACATCGCTGCTCTTCAGCACAAAGAAGAGGAATTTCTGGAAGAAAGGGGAGGATTTCAGACAATCACAAGCACATTTGGCTCTCTGCGCCATCCGCAGGACTTAGGCCAGGTAGCCTGTCCTGGTTTTGGTTAAAACAGAACCGACTCTCTTTTAGTGAGTCTTCCTTACAGCTAAGTTCTTCTCAGTAACTGCATTCTTCTGAAGCTGGCTGCATACCTTACAGACACTGTCTGCTCCAAAGCTGATAACACCTAATGTTTATAGTTACACTGAGCTAACGGTAGGAAAGGAATGCAGAAAAAGGCCCCTGTTTATAATTATCACCATGGCAGCCAAGGTCACCGACAGATCTCTCGGGTCCTGCAAGTGAGCAGGCGGAAGGGGTCGTACGTGCAGGGAGGGGCGGACAGACAGGTGACCCGATACTGACAGACGAGGTGTTCCATGCCATGCACGTCATACTCAGTTTAAAGCTGGGGGATCATGAGGGTCTCGCTCTCTTTGTCCATGGCCGCCTTCTGAAGAGGACCCTGCTCGTTGTTCTACCTGCAATCCTGAGCCAGATTCCTATCCGTGCACCCCTGAGTCCAGTTCCTGCCCGCTGCCGAGTCCAGTCTTGGAATTCCTGGTGCTGCCCGGACGCCAGCACCTGGCACCCAACTCCAGGAAACTCAGTGTGGGTTTTGTATATTTTACATTATTTCTCTTATTATTATTACTATTATTAGTATTATTAGTCTTACTACTAAAACTTTTTATATTCTATTTGTAAGTCTCTCTCCCTTTTCTTCCTTTTCCTTTCCTCTGGTGGGAGGGTGGGGGTTAATAGAGAGCATCTGTCACTCAGTTTATGGACGCCCTGCTTTAAACCATGACATAGCCTCAAGCTAACTGGTCTCTCAAGAACATCAGAAAGGCTGGTGTATGCACCAGCTCTTCAACTCCAGTGTTATTTGTGGAGTTATAACACCTGCTCCTGCATTTACCTCAAGTGCTGACCTTCAGGAGCTGCAGCCTCTCTCACAAGCTCTTCCTGGAGCCAGACCCAACCAGCCTGCCCAGCAGGGAGTGGTGCTGCCGACCAGAGTACCAGAGCCACTGCTAACCACCTGCCCACAGCCCTTCACCAGGGCTCAGTCCGGCCAGAGCCACACCAGGCTCTCAGCAACAGGCAAGGTGTGGCAAAGCTCAACAAGCAGCAGATATACACCTTGTTGAAGTCACAGAGTTTCCAGAAGAGGACAAGGAGTTCCTGATGGAATTGGATCTTCTTGGCAGAGTTTGGCAGGTAGGTCTGGACCAGCGGGTTTGATAACAAGCGGGCCACTCCTTTCAGGATGAACTGGAAATCCTGCCGACAGATCAGGAAGGAGACCGTGGTGGGCCAGGGCCGATGCAATCAGCATGAAATCAGACAGGAAACAGTTCAGGACAGGAGCACGTTACCTCCTCTCGGTGTATTCTTGAGAGGTAATTCACAAACAGATTGTCTGGTCCGGGAGGCTGCATTCAAAGACAAGGAGTGAAATGCTTACTGGCAACAAGGTTTACTCAGGAAGTCAAAGTGTAACCACTGGCTCTGGGGACTAATGGCTCTCATTTCAGCTTTCCCCTCTGGTCCAGTTTTAAATGCTAGGAGACAGAGCACCCCACAGAACAGTAAAGTCAGGGGCTTTTCTCTTACATGCTCCTGATCCAAGTCAGTGACCAAAACCTAGTGATTTGGTCATCTACAGCTGTTTAGAGACCTGCAGGAAAGAAGCAGGACTGGGCCAGAGATGGCAGACTGCAAGGAGAGGAGCGGTGCTGGACCCTGCAGGTTAACATTCAATGCAAGCTGGTGTAAGAGGACCACAGGGAGTTCAGCAGAGCAGCAAACACAGATCCCAGTGTTACTCACATCCACATCATCCATGGCCGTGCCAGTGGTCGTGCCATCCACAGTGGGACTTGAACTGGTGGAGCTGTCATAGTCCAAAGTGACAATCAGCACCTGGGCTGCCTCCTCTACTAGGGGCTCGCGGTAGTCCGAGAAAAGCAGGTGATTGTAAGGGATCCCATAACCCACCGGGTCGTAGGCACAGACGACGTTCAGGAGCGAGGTAAAGAGTGGGAGCGCGTGTCTGGGGAGGAGAAAACATTCTCTGAAGGCAGAAGCAGGAAGCAAAAGGTGCTGCCTTGGAGAGTGACAGGCATCTCTCTCCCCAGGAGCCTGGGGTCATGACAAAACACTAGCACCTTCTCTAAGCTATAACAGCGGCCCATGACTGAGCAGCCCAGAGACAAGAGCTGACATGCCAGCTCCCAGCTGGTCTCCTGGACTACAGCTGTGAGGCAAGGGGAAGGCGACAAGGGCTGCGTGGCCTCCCAGAAGAATCCTGTGCAGCAATGTGAAAAGGGGGAGATGTCTGCAAAGCTCTCTAGACTCTGGAAAGACTTAACCGTCTGCCTTCAGCCAGGACTGTGCTCCCCCAGGTGCCTGTCACCTGAGGGCCCCGTGAGACACTGTCACTAGAGGGCAGCACGCCCTCGCCACAGACCGCCCACGGCAGGGCCACGCCGCCATCCCACCGGGGAACAGATCTGCCTTCTCCTGCGGGACAGGGATCAGTCCTGCATCACGCTCCAGTAAGCACCACCCTCAGTTTCTCCTTTTGCTGCTGAGGAACAATTCTCGCTAAGCAGAGATGCTAATTGGGCATACGCAAGACAAGGACAAAGAAAAAAGGGCAACAGCCCCTAGATGTTGGGGGTAGCAAGTCCTACGGTCTCCCATCACCAACATGCTCCATGGAAGAGATCTGCAGGTATTTCTCCCCGTGGCACCCAGTCCCCCATCCTTCACCCTCACCTGTTCTCCGTGGAGCAGAAGAACTGCACCCAGGGGTTGGCATTGCTGCTGTCCGAGGATGGAGGCAGATACATGGCCTCAGAGAAACAGGTCAGCAGCAGCTTAAGCAGCTCTGTCCTGAAAGAAGGGAAGAAGCAGCCAAGGCTTGGAGCCATTCGGGAGCAGGGACTGGGCACAGGAGGCACAATCACCACAACAACACAGGAGGAAGGCTCAGTCCTATCTAGAAGGTCCTCCCCACAGAGAACTAGTCCCATTTAACTTCCTAAGCAACAATGCTGTCAGTGGCACAAAGCTCAGCAGAATTGCTGCCTTATGAGAGAGAAATACAGTACAAAGCTCCTAGGCATTTTCAAAGCAGCAATGTTTTGCCAGTTCCTGTTCCAGACACTCCAACCCCTATATCATACTACAAAGAGCTATTCAACAGACAACTGTTGGGTTTTTTTTCCCGTACTCTGTATTGCCAGTCCTGTTAGCTCACAAAGGAGCAAGGAGAAAGCCTCTTTGGAATCACAGGTACCCAAGGAGGCAAGAAGAGCCCACCTGCCCTAGAACCCCCTCTCCTGAGCCCAGTCTCTTTCCGTTCTGCCTTTGCAGACCCTCTTACCTATTCAAGTCATGGATGTAGTTGGGTGGTGGAGAATGAGCGAAGCCCACTCCTGCCTCCCAGATGTACTCACAGCTGTCGATGGAGTGGATATCTTCTGCTGAGTCCTGTGGGGAGAAATAAGAGGTTGGACCACAGAAGGCAAGAGCAAGAGTTAACAGGCTTCTGGTATCCGAGGCAGTTCAGCCGCTCTCTTTAGCAATAGCAAAGAAACCAGCAGAGAAGCATCCAGACACTCAGAGTGTATATGAAGGGAGGACCCCTGACAGAGGGCCTCTCATCTTCAGCAGGTACTGAGTATGATGTAGAATGAACCCTTCCTCTAGCATGCTAAGGTGAAATGCCAGCCACCTCCACTGGGAAGGGTCACCCAATGCCAAAGGATCCAAAATACATTATGTCCTCGTTACTGGATGCATCACCATCGCCTCTCCTTTCCTCTGCATCTCACGGAACACAGCCCAGGTCAGGGCTTTTCCTTCACACATCAACAGCACCACACAGGGGTTCAGTCCTGCTCAACCCTATCTCAGAGCACATCAGGCTGAGTCTACACCCATAATGGTGACCGGCAATGGCTGCACCCCATAGGCAGGAGAAGCAGCAAACTAACCCTCATTGATCATAAAAGCAGATATGGCTGTGACTTGCTTTTCAGAGGGTAAAGTAAGAAGGTAACTGCAAATACATTATTTCTCCTAGTCAGAACCCTCCCAGTCCCTTGACAGCTGCTGGCGTAGCTCCCAAACTCTTGCTTTGCAACCTGAGGAGATGAACCGCAGCGGCCTGCCCTCCTTTTTTGTCACAGTCAGTCAGGTCAGGGTTGAAGCAGCTTTGCAGAGACAAGCAGCCATTGGAAACCAGCTGTCAACTCTCCAAGAATGACCAGGAGCAAGGGCTCAGATGAATACGTTTGCATCAAGCGCACTTGGCACACTTTGGCTGTTTCTTTTCTGGGGTTTAATTAAGCAAATTCTACCACCTGCCTTTCTTCCTCTCTGCACTTCGGAAAAGCAGATCAGAGGACTGTTTCTAATTGCTCCAGGTTCCCACTGCATAATCTCCCTCCCCTTCTCCCTCCCACAAAGGCACTCATCTCAGGACAGCAGGGCTTGAGGGCAGCCAAGATGCACTTACCACCCCAACCACAACTCCCACCAAACCAGCACATTGACAGCAGCTACTGCTCACACAGGAGCAACTGCAGCTTCCTCCACAGCTCAGGCTTTTCCTGCCTTGCTGTTCCACTCCTACAGATATGCTAGAGCTCACCTGTTGTTGGGTTTCTCGCTAAGCTCCTCAGAACAACCCTTGTTGAGACTGGAATACCCAAGACCTCCCTCCACAACCAAACCTTGAACATCTCCTGCCAGGCGCAGGCTTCACGGAAAGAAATGCAATTAAATCCACAAACCTGCTTCTACCTGTGTGGCTGAGCTGCAACACTAGGAGGAGACAGCACATTACTAGCCATCACTATAGCAGTTCCCCAGCCCTGAAAAAGCATGTGCTGATGTCTTCAAACACCTCAGCCTTTGCAAGTGACAAAACACAGAGGTGCAGGCACTGCGCATGACAGAAGGATCCCCAATTTCTAGTCATAATTCCAGGGCTGACTTCAATAGGAAGGCAAACAGCAAAAGAGTATGGGTCACTCTGGGGTCTACTTTACCCATTCCCTCCCAGCTACTCTTCCTCTTTACTCAGTTCTGCTTCAGCAGCTATCCACCACAATCTGTATCTCTGGGACCATATGCTGTTCTGCCATGAACTAGAGGTGGTTGTACCCATCCCTCTGCTCTTAACCTGCAGTCAGACCCCAGAGCACAGAGAGGGAAGACAGCTAGGCAAAGACTACTGAAGCTTCAGGCAGCTAACAGTAAGGAACATAAAGCATTCATGATCTCATTGTCTAATTTAATTTGCCCAGAGCCCTGGGAAACCAGGCTGGCTGCTTCCAAGGAAGAAATCGCTGGTGCAGGACAGGGTTGCTCTCACATGAACAACTGCTGTCACCCGCACTTGTGCATTCCATCCCAAGTGACAGCACAAGACAAGTCCATCTCTTTCAGCCACACTCTCACTTACTCTTAGCATGTACCCACATGGCTCTGACCCAGCCTCAGCCCTTCATCCTCAGGTGGCAGATTTTAACCATGTTTCTACTACCCAGAAACTTCAAGCAAGCAACTGATTACTCAGGTTTGCCAGGGAATTTTGCAGCCATCAAATACACAGTGGTTTAGCATGTTCATCTTTAAGTTACTTCACAGCCACACCAAAAAGGAGGGCTGCCCACTTTTGCTTATAGACTGGACCTACAAGAAACACAACAACCATTGACTGGGAAGGAGGGAAGGAAGGAGATGCACCAGAATCTGTCCTTAGCACACCTGGTAGGAGATCCCTGCTTCAGGGAACTCCTCTGAAGTAAAGACAGCCACCAGAAAGATCAGAACACATTTGTCTTGGCTGCAACGATACAAAAAGGAAGAGGAGGTGGAAAGACACAACAAAGCCCATCCACTCACTCAGATCACAGCACCTGCCATCAGGCAAACAGCTGCTTCCTGCCCCGGGCTGCACCAAATTGCCAGGGAAAGCACCAAGGGGCTAAAGGTCTCTGCTCTGATGGCAACAACAGAAGAGAGGTTGTTTGCCAGCAAACCACCTTTTCCTGAGGGGTGAGCTGTAGTGCGAGGTAAGTGCCAGCCACTCCAGCTGAGGCTCACCCAGCTGTCTCAGAACATCTCTTTTAGAAGGCACAAACCCCACACAGTGAAACCAGAGTGTTGATCAATATTAGTCACTGTGGCTTCAAGCTGAGCCACTCCATATCTTCCTGTCTGCAGGTTTGCAGGAAGCTGTTGGATTTTTCAGGCTACCATCCCACCATGCAGCTAATCTATCTGTATGCTGATAATCTCATGATTCAACTTACCACTGTGCTCCTCCGGTGGCTCTGCACAGTGAAATCGGGACAGAAGAGCAGATCTGCAACAGCAAGGAGCAACGACTCGGCCAGTGGCCGGGCATTTTCATCATCTTCATCTCCCTAAAAACAAGAAATGTGGAAGAGTATTGTCAGCCCAGGGTTAGCACAGAGCACACAGTAACTAGTATAACACAGCAAGAGAAGATACACCCCCCAAGAACATCCAGGGAGGCAAGCAGTTACAAAAGAACAATAGGGAGAAGCACACAAGCCCCAGCCAGCAGCAGAAAGAAATTCGCCCCTGGAAGGTGACAACTAAATAGGAACAAGATCTTTAACACCACCAAACTGAGCAGACAAAGGCCCAGAGATGTTGGGGAAACAGAAGAGTAGCACTGGACCTTGCAATGTGGAGATACTTGACTTACTGAAGACAAAAGGAAAGGGACCATTTACAGAGAAGAGGGTTTTACCCTCATGAAGGAGGGTGATTTGGATGTTGCACAGAGACACAATAGGAAGAGGCCAGCCAGCAGCAATAAGGTGTAAAACCCCTCAAAGTCCTGCGTGGGCTGCCCAGAACTGGAGGTGACAGAACCAGGAGAGGCCACGCCATGCCCAGCAAGGGGCCACCTCAGCCTGCCATGGCAGAGCAAGCGTGACAGCTGAGAGGATTTTGCCACCTCCAGCGTTCAAAGCAATCACTCCAATCATGCATGGCTACTCCTCTGCAGCCGTTGCCATGGGAAACCTTGCCGGATCCTGTCTGTCAAAGAGCATCCTGGATGGGAGTCTG